AATTTTTTTATAATATTTATTAAGAATAATTATTTTTTTAAAGAAATTCACTTACATATAAATTTTATATACTACAATTATATAAAATTTTATATAAGTGTAATATATGAGATTTATTTATAAGTAATTTATTACTTTTATCCCTTTTTATTTTAAAAGATATAATAAATTTTAATTATTAAAAATAAAAATTAATTAATTAAAATTTTATATAAATATAATATATAAAAGTAAGAGATAAATAAATCCTTACTCTGTTTACAAATCTCAAGAGAACAGAAGATGAGTTGATTCAAATTTGTCCTTCGTGGCTATAGATTTCGAATGAATATTTAAGGTTGTAGGTCGTTGGATATATATCTCCAGCTGTAAGATGTACATAGTTCATACCCTTTTGGGGAGTTTGGGAATACAACTTACCATTTCGTAAAAAGAAAATAGAAAATTCATAAGTAATTTTTTATTTTTTATTTGAATTCAATTTTCTTTTTGTTGTTCAAAAAAAAAATTCAATTTTCTTTCAGTTCCTGCTCGGATTTCAATATCAGTTGCATATATTATGAAATTTTATCTACATGATATATATATATATATCAATAGAAAATTAATTTAAATGTTCTTTTTTTAAAAATAAGTATATTAAAAATTATAATATTAAGTTGATCCTAACTTGCAAATTAAAAAAAAAAGTTAATCATAATTCATATACATATCAATACCGACACCTATCTTGAACATTAAAAAACATAAACTATCAAGCTTATGGACAAGATGCAAATAATGTAATCTATCTACAAATTAAACCTCTTTTTTCTATCTATGATCACCACCCAAAAAAAAAAAAAAAAACAGGACAAGTAGACAAGCAGAAATTAGAAATTAATTAGAATCGTTCTATTACTTTCCTGCATTCCTCCCAAAAAAAAAATTTCTTGAGAAGAAACATAGAGAAATAAAGAAAAAGAGATTAGCTAGATATGAAAACATAGACAAGACTAAAATCATAACCAAAGTGCCTTGGCATCTTTGAGAATGGGAACCAATTCCCCTGAAATATGCGTAGCCATGACTTTATCCAACCCACCAAATAACTTGCCTCCTACAAACACTGCCGGAAACTGTACCCCACCGGTATCTCCTCCCTTCCCACCATTGATTGCAGCCAATTCATTGACCACTGCGGCTTCTTTCTCTTCATCCACATCGAAAACCAACGGATTCACACCGTGCCCTAGCAACAACCTCCTCACCACATGGCACATGCAACACCCTCGTCTACCAAAAACCACCACCGCATTCTCCACCACCAATTTGGTTAAACTAACTTCATCCCCTGCCTCCTTGGAACCACCACCGAGTAAGTTGTTCCTGCCGACGCCGCCGCCGGCGGCGGCGGCGGATGTGGTGTAAGGTATGGCTTGTTGCATGGAAGAAGGATGATGATTTTTAAGTGGGAAGGCGTTGGGGTGATATAATGGGTGGGTGGAGAGGACCAGAGCAGCGGAGACTTTAACGTCAACGGTAGTTACGCACTCTAGTGCGTCACGGGATTGTGGGTGACGTGATTGGCGTCACCGCTGGTTGGACGGATTCGTAGTGGCGACGTTCTAGTGAACAACTGAACATGACGTTTCCCTTATTGTCGTCATTTTCCATGCACCTAACAGATGCCAGAAGGCCCTTTCTTTTTTAGCATTAAAAACCAGTTGTTGGGTGTTATATTTAAATCTTTAATTTTAATTATAAATTAAAAATATTTTGATTTATAAATATTAATAAATATTAATTTAATTATTTAACTCGTGTCTATATGTGAAAATTACATCCATTTTTTTCCATAATTTTACTTTTCCCTAGGAAATGACTTTAATTATGTGGAAAATTAAGCATGCCGGCTAACTTTTCTTGGAAGAGGACAATAATGGCGTACAAAATTTCAAATACCGTGCATTCCACTACCTTTAATTGTTGGCATAGTCTTAAATAGAAATTTTCATGTACAATTTAAGCATTTATTTTTTTTAAAACAAATTTATATAAGATTAGATTCGAATCATTACTAAAAAAAAAGAAGAATGCACTTAACAAGTGGTTTAAAGTCATTGAGTCGAAAATTCAAGTGCAATTTAAGCATTTACTTAAAATCATATTAATAAATAACAAGTAATATTGTTTTATAAATTATGTTTAGGGTTTAAGTTTGAAAATGAATTAATTTTAAATTATATAAAATTTATCCTCAAAATATTTTAACGGTAAATATTAAAAAAATATATTTAAGTATTTATCTAACAAGAAATCTAAAATTTCCTTCATTGGTTGGATGAAGGGAAGCGGTAGAGTAGATTGTTTCTTTAACGTTAATCTCAAAGACATCAAAATGTTGATTCACCAAACTCGTGGCTTAATGTGATTTACGTTTCTAAAATCATATTTAGAACTATTTAAATAAAAAAAATTACAGTAATTAATATCTCTCAACTGTTGTAACTTCCAATATTACATTTTTTATTCTTAAATAATACGATTCCAAATCCACTTAAAAGATGCTCGGAATCCACTCATGGTGCGGAGACAAAGGCGTTCTAGGGCGGTGGCCTTCTATCAGCCTACACGTCAGTAATAATAATAATAAAAAAATGAATAAAGAATTAATTTTTAGATTTATCTAACATATATTTTTAATAATATAAGTTAAAAAAAAA